GCCTTGTCATGCAACATGGCGCTAAGGATCTTAGATACGGTAGATATATGGTCACCTTGCGAGCACTGCCAATAGTGAGAAAATGCGCGAATCCCCATGGAACAAAAAAGTACGTGCCAATCGACTTCTTCAGGATACGCCATGACTTCGATTTCCGCTCAGTCTAGGTTGTTTCTCGTTTCCGATCTCACATGATACTTCCACGGGTTGGTTTGTAATTATCAGTTGTGAAATTTGCCTAGTAAAGTTCAGAGCCCTCAAGGGGAAGAATTCTTCAGTTGATCAACCGTTGATGAATGGTACTTTTTAGCAATGACATTTACCACAAGGAGTTCTCGCAATGTCATACCCTCCCCCAAACATATTAGCGCCCCAAATATTCGTACGTTTCATTCCCATTGCTGCTATTTAGCTTGGTTATGATGCGTAAAGGATGCAGTGACACAAGTGAAACTTACCACGCCCACGTTTCAGCTTCAAAGCTCGAATCGGGTTCGCGGCACAACAGAGGTTTTCGGCTTCAAGGGTTGAATAAGTGTTATCATACTCATGTGTATGTGTAAAGCTGGCAGAGGGGGGGGAGGCTAGAACGGTGCCTCACACGTCCTGAAAATGAATTGGTGGGGCAGTGCGGGAGTTCGAAATTCTGGCGTCACGTGCATACCCGAAAAGGTGCTGATCAACTAGACATACTGATTCTAGCTCACTGATCAGGAGAATTTGTAGGGAAGTCTTGACAGGCAGCCATATTTTAGCTCATACTGGCTAACGCAATCCTCCTTACGCGACGGCTAATTGCTGCAATCACCGATATAGAGCCGATCAGGCGTCTAGACGGCTATATAGCCGCAACATGCCGACAGATGTATTCATAATGACATCGAAGGATTTGAAATTCTTGGTGGCTCAGACGTCATTCCATTGAATTTGAGTCACACTTATGGAAGCAACTCGGGGAGTTGTATACTAGCTGCACGAGTTTCACTGTCACATCCACGTTGAAAGCGCTCCTTGACAAGATCTGATAAGATTTCCAACCGATCTCAGCCGCAGGACAAGAATGACCGAGTCACTTTTCATTGGTCACGCCGGTAATCGCAATCGGTCGGCATAATCACTTTTATTTCATGACTACCACGATTGGATCTTTTTAGAGGAAGAAGTTCCACAGTTTCTACTTCACACTAAGTCAAGAGATTCATGTTGCGGTGATACAGCGAAGATTGCGTTAAAAGTGACCTTATGTACCGCGTAATTCAGGCCAGGAACTACGAATTTAACGCGGAAAAGTCACACCATATTAAATCAGTTAGCTACGAAAGGAGTATGTAGTTCGTCTTGATGGAGCACAAAATGATACTTAGCGGAACTATAATAGTTTATGCCACCTTGTAGAGACCGTAAAGCTTCAACCAAAACGGCTCATTTGCACTGTTTCGCAGCTTCGCAGGAGTTTACAGGTCTTACCACAGTCTAACTTGTTGGTCAACATGAAGTAGCAAAAGGAACTAGCGAGAGTGAAGAATGCCCCTCCCAAGCCGAACAGTAGGTAGTTCTCGCCGAAGCGTAGATATCCTGATCCGCGCTATTCTCGAACGCTCTCAACTTTTTTTTCGAAAACCAGGAAGGAGTGCTAATGCTAAGTAGCGTTCCACCTGGTTCAGTCTCACCCCGAATTACTCAAGAGGTAATGCAGCAGAATGTGCAAGTCGGCGTCTTCACTAAGTTTCCGCTCTCTAATTATCAACGCCGCTAACGTTTGGCGTGAAGACGCGATTAAATTACGGAACCTTCCCCTCCTATTTCAGGATCATTAGGCACGTCTTCTCGAACCCGGCTCACTGCCAAGGACGTGCTTAGGAGGATTCGCAACCTCCCACTCATCCATACACCTGCTGGTCGTAAGTTGGTATATTCGTGCCAGATGAATGGCTTCGGCGAGGAACTACTTTAGGGTTGTGGACATTTGGACAGGGTCAACCTAGCAGGGCCTTCTCGGTACAGTTTGGTTTTTTCTACCGACCCTAACACCGCTGACTCAGCTTTAGTGCTTTATCTAGTACTTTTTTTCAGTACTGTGACACGGTTTTGGCCATTTTCCAGAAGCTCTTTCTCGAGCAAACCTACTGCACTCAAACTGTTCAGATTGTCCCCATCTTCACCGACTTCTGCCCTAATATCACTACAGCTAGAAGCATCTCCCTCAAAATTCAACCCGCCGTCTAGGATGCCCTACTAAGCCACTTCATCTATCTACGCCAGCGATCTTCGCTGGCCCGCTCATCGGTTGCGCACACGACACGTTGAAAAACCATCGGTAGTGCGCTTCCGAACAACTATCTCCGAGTCGTTTTCTGCGCACATAACACATTTTTTATGCATTTTTTTCCGTCAACGACCCCCATGGAACATCGTTACAGCCACGGAAAAAAAGCATCCTAACGAACTTGCAGTAGCAAGTTCAAACGATGGAGGGTCCATGGCACGTAGTTTACGGACTATTTGTAGAAACTGGTTTCGCCCAGAATTTCTGATGATCCTACAGTATCTCCGGGAACCAAGGCCTGTACAGCTCCCGATCGGTTATTTCTCCAACCGAGAAGGGAGGGTATCTTCGGAAAGGAAGGGGCTTCAATGAAAAGGCATTTCCCATATTACACGTCGTGATGACCTCTGCTGCGAGGGTTTCCCCAACTTGCCCTTGGATTTTTTGGGAATCTCGGGCCAACGGCCACTAAAGTGGACCAGAGCTCTCAAAAAGCGAAGGAATCTTCAAGGATTCAAGTTCTGAACATCATACCTCTACCCACAGCTTCCTAGGTCTAGCCAGGAAGGCCACGTGCGCTAGTATTGTGGGAACATCGGGAATTCCCAACTAGGAAGGTTGTATTTGGTTGGTGGGTGAGCGGGATCGTATTTGAGGAAAAATTTTTCCCCTGCGGCAGTCCTTACCCTGGATGAATATGCTCCCAATTGCAGCCAAACTGCTAAGTAGGGAAAGTAGCCACGACTGATGGGTCCATGCCCGCTGGAAGTACGCTACTGATGATAGACATGGGTAACGCTCTCAGACAAGGCTCATCCAGTTGAAATGAACCTCTGAAAATAAAGGGTACTGCACATATAAGGAACAATATGTACTGTAAAAAATTCATTTCACGAATGAGACACCAATGCAAAAACAGATCAATAATCATAGATCAAAATACCCATAAGAGTGCACAAAACTAAAGATGTGAGCATAGCGGAAAGCCACAAAACGAAGATGGAGTAGCAAATATTGATCCTTATTGATCAATCAGTTCTCAGTTTCCTTTTTAGTAGCGTTTTCATCAAGTATCTCCTTAAGACAGGCAATGTATTGCTGAGCCATTTGCAACGTTTCGTATTTGGATAGGCGACGTCCTGAGTCCATTTCTGGTAGTACGGTACGAAGCTGAAATGAATGAGAATGACTTGCGTAGGTAAATGGTTAGCTGAACATTTGAAAATCACGGTATGTCCTGAATTCCGAATCTCGCCCGCTGGCCCTTAATTTTTTTGGAGATCCCGAGCAGGTCCCGAAATCGGTTGGCACTAAGTTATGTTAGTACCGTAGAGGCAGAGAAACTAGAGTCGCACATAATCTGGCGAGTGCCTTCCAAATGGTTTTCAGAAGCTTCCAGAACGACATTTGGCTTTCGAACTGCAAAAGCAAGATGACGGAGGGTGAGGAACAGGGAAAGGGTCACAGGAGAGTCACGGCATGACTGGCGATAATTACAGAAGACAACAGGTGCGCGAAATGTGCATATCTTACGTAGTCACTAAATCATTCATTAACGTGTCTAGGTTTGAGGGTATGCCTGCGCTTTTCGACTGGACGTCCTTGAATCAACCAGCCAACAGCTAACTGATACGGTATCGTCGCGTGCACGGGGTAACTGACCCGATGATTCAAAAATCTGTGACAGACGAGCGTATACCGTTTGATTAATTGATATTTGCTTCTAAGAAACCATGCAATTAATTGATGGTGTACGGTAGGTAGTGGAAGAGAAAGTTGGGCGCAAATCGGCTGAGTGGGAGGGGGGGGGTGCGATGGGGAGAGATGAGAATTCACACAGAGGACTCTGCAATAGAAAGAGAGCGAAAACTGCACCCCAGTATGGCAACTCTCCGTAATTCAAATGGGTTTTGGGCGCAGTTCGGCATTTGGAGGGCATTTTGCACCTTTGCTCCACTAGTTAAATTTACAAGTCTCTTTCTGGTGAAACCTGGGAGCTTCGGTGAAGCTGGAGAAAGCTCGTCGAGCCACTGCTTTACAGTAGTTGAATTTTATTCTGTACAAGAGTTGATAGGTGGTCTACATAAACTTAGGTTGGCATCACTTCGTGGCTTCACGATATTTCACATGCCTCCACTATGACTCGACACGTCGATAAGAGTGGAGTGGCAAAGGTGCGAAACGCGCCGCTGTGGCCGAATTGCTCCCAAGCCTTGTCATAATTTGACCCACCCCTTTAGTAACCCCATACAGAATAAATTTGGCTGGGAACTTTTGCCTGGAATTGTTTGTCCCTTCGACCAGAGGCATCACATCCGCCGAACACGAAAACTCCTAACATCAGATCACGTCAAATCATAAAATATGCCCAAAATCTGTATTCGAGGGTAGCTAGATCATTTCACTACAATCATCATATCTAATTACTTAGCGCAAAAGACATGCAGTACAGCCGCCCAACTACCACTCGTGTTGAGGAAAGCGCCGGGGTGGGGGGGGGGGAAGTACGGATGTACCATAGCAGACGAATATTTCACGTGTTTTTGGCCGAACTTCAACATTCCCAGTCTAGATTCAAATTCCAGACATAAGAGGGTAAACAGTAAATCATTGTCAAATGGGCAGCTGAATCAACCTGAAAAAATCCTCCCATTCCAGGGAATATTTGACATGCGGAGTTCTTCCTAATAAATCGATCTTTGGAAAAATGGATAGTTCGGTATTCAATGGGAGGAGGTCAGGCATGGATCCAAACAAGTAAAGATGCACAGATTGACTGTATTGAATAGATTCGCGCAACATCCTGATAACTCCGAGATCTCAGGTATGTACACGACGCCACTGAGGAATCGCGTCGCTTATCGCATTTCGCGGGACTCCCTTCCCTTCTGGAGCCGTTAAAATGCTATTGCAACTGATTCCATACCAGATTTTCGGGCCCATAACCTTGGAGGGGCAATAGAAGGTATCCTGGAGCGAGACTGGGTCTGTCGTCACTCGAACAGAACTACCATGTTTTGATTTATTAACCCTCGCCGGAGCTCATTCACCCTTGGGCCAAGTCTAAGGTTCTCATATACGGCATGGGATTCACAGTTATGCATAGGGAGCCCTTTAGTGCCCTCTCCAAGTATATCAGCACCAAACTTTTAGAATCCAACTGTTAACTGCAAAAAACAGGCTTTAACCGGAAAACCCTCGAACTTTTCGAACTTCTGTCATTACGCTTTCTGGAGGCTGAGCAGTGAGTTTCGCCCAAAATTGCAGTAGAAAACCGAAGAGCGTGACTTAGAGCGCTCGAGATAGATCAGCCTGCCTTCCTAAAACTAAAGCGCTTGTCAGGAGCACGTGGCGGAAGGCACAATAAGTTTGCACAAGAGTGGAGGAATATGTGACAGAAGCACTCGAAATTGCTGACCCGAACTGCTACGAATTACCCCCCCCCCACCTCTAGCCACCTATAAATGGAGCTCAAGTGGGTGCTGTAACGAATTGACTTTGTGGGAATCATGTTGGGTTATCAGTTGCCTAAGACATACGCATAAGTAAAGTGTAAGTTGAAGCAAATGCAGAAGTGCAGAATATGCACACTGGCACGCACTCTACTAGGCATCCGGTATCTCTACCCTATGTAACCCCGTTCAGCGTGTTCATTCGACGACGGCTTCAACCGTTCCGTTTGGCAGCAGTCCTTCGCATCCGCAGAAGCTGCGGAGGAGGTGGTTGATAACGGCGGGCTTTGCCGGCAGTATTTCTGCAAGAAAATTCGATTAAAGTTCCTTATTGGAACCGCCTGAAAATGCTCACTCACCTGTTTGATTGTGGAAATTGGGGGCTATGCAGAGGTGGTAGGAACTTGTTTGTAGGTTACTATGAAGGTAAAGCGCATTGACATCCGGGAATGAAAGTTCCGCCAAGTGGAAAGTGGAAAGTGAGGTGATAATCCAAGAGGCCATTTCCGTTCACCAAGACTGACCGTAAAGGATCAAAATAGGGTTTGCGGCGAGTCAAGTAAGATAACCAGCCTTGCCACCTGGCCACGCCCTCTCACGGAATACAGTATCCGCCTCAGCGGCTACGCAGGGCAATCAGCGCGCGCTTGGAGAATGAACCGTGCGGAAAACTGTAGGAATTAAGAGGGGATGTCATGGAGTTCTGGATAGATAGTCTCTAAGCTATTTGCGACCATTTAATGAGCCGTGTCATATCTAACCGGCTTAATTGGCTATATGTACCCCCTCTTACATCTATGGCGAACCCCCGCTTAGCTGTAAAGAAAAAACACTATAAATTTCCCGCACAGAGGGAAACTTTTCCGAGTCGTTATTAAAGAAGCTCGAAATCACTAAGTCTATATGAGGGCTTATTGATAATTTGCAGCTGTCTCACTACCCGGCTTTTCTACCATGGACTCTGGAAATGGTAAACGATACCGCGATGTAAAAGGTGGTTTCTTCTGCTTTGGTGATTTTGTGATTTATGATTTATTATCGGCAATCTATTGACAGTGGCACACATAAAAAAAGGAAAGGTGAGAACCAAACTCGCGGTCCCTCAAAGAGCAGAGATCACTCTACACTCCAATCTATAAGGCTCTTGAAGATTACGTTCTCACATACTCCTCCCCTGAGTAGGTAGAAAGCGTACAGCGTTGATCGCAGCTTGAAATATATTTTCTCGGAGGTTTTTCTACCCCCCTAAAAAATCCTACCTAACCCCATCGCGTTAAATCGCCATAAATCCTGAACAGCTCTTATCTCCGAGCGTACGACAGTCGCGTGCGTTGAAGCGATGGTGCTGGGTAGGGGGTTGATGGTATCGTGGTGCTGAATCTTATCGAGACAACCGCGCCGCCGGTTAGCGATGAGTTGCCTGTTGGCAAACTCGTCACCCATCATTCATTACTGTAATCGATGGGCAACACATGTTGCCAACTATTTCAGACCCCCTAAGGCTGATGATTCGCGATAAGCGTGGCCAAGGTTCACTCCATACCCATAGATGGCTGCATACTTCATCTGAACATGGTGGACGTGTTTTTTCGTACGATATTTCCTAACTGAGTCAACTGTCACACTGTCATGGGTTGGACAGGAATATGATTATAATTGTCTCAAAAGGGGAAATCCTCATCAAAAGCGCAGCCGCTGCCACGTGCGGGAGAAATATGCTGCTTTCTATCTCAGGGAAATGTAATGTACATGTGTAAATGGAATGGGGAGGGAGGCTGGGTTTGACACGGCGCCAGTTTTTCTCCATCGTGGAAGCTGGTAGACAACCACTAAAAAAGGCTGGCGCTGCGTCAAATCCAGCCCCAAGAAACGCCCAACCGTCCGCAGCGAAAATACGGTACGAAGAGGTTCGACAACGTTTACTCTTTCTATGGTGTCCTTGATACAATAAACGTGACAGTGGGGTACAGCATGGACGGGAAAATCCCAACGGGTCCCAACATCGTACTTGGTCGCTGGAGAGAAGGTCGTGTCTGGGTGCGAGAGGAATGGTTCTGAGCTGTAAGGGAGATTGTAGCGGTGGTTAATTTTTTCCCTTTTCCGCTGTCTTCCTTCCCGCCACCGTCTCGCTTAGTTGGCGGTGAAAGCAAAACTACTATATAATCACTATTTCTGATAGTTGATTGGAGACGGCCTCCTGTCGAGGGCAGTTTTTTGGAGAAACTGGAAATTTTTCCAGAAAATTGGTAAGAAGGTGGATGAGTTTGGCAGAACAGTGGGAAAGGAGTCCTACCACATGAGGGAACTTGTGCATAGGAGTCGTTCCAAGAGTCACAGATACCCCTATGTTGACGATTCGACATCAAAAAAGGTGACACCCCCTGCCCCCCTGCCCACTAGGTGATCCAAAGCTAAGCTTTACAATGTCACAGTGTTGTGCCCTTCAATTACCTCAGCTTCCTCGGTAATTACCCACTCGATTAGATAACGAGATGAATGATCGATTACAGTGTGTTTTCTTCAGGTAATAGGAAGGCTCCCTGCCGATGAAACGCATTAGATGATGTAACCTCTGTCGTCAGTTGACACTAATTATGCTCTTCGTAATTGGGCATCTATAATTCACTTCAACGCGACGGTCACCCGTGTGTGGAATACTTCCAGCAGAACCCCTAGGTACAGCAGGATCCCTCATATCGCTGAGATCAATCCATGAGAATCTGAAATGTGAACTCAAAATTCACTTTAACCGTTCTTTCTTT